ATCCCTTCCACTACCCAGAACCCAGAGCAGGCAAAACATACCTTCAGCCTCTTCTCCAAAAACCTTGCACCCCCATCAGATCCGTAGGAGAATTCATAAGGGAAGCTCCAGTCACGAACAAGGAAAATGAGGGACTGGGAAACACAAACAGTGGGGTCACTGAGCACCCTCATCTCACACACCAACACCCGGCCCTGAGGCTCCTCCCAGCTCCAGCAGCATCTCCCACCTTTCCTGCTGGAAATGAGAGGTCCCAGGTGCAGGGACTGAGACCACCCCACTGTCCCAGCCCCAAATTCCTGCACCAGTTTGAGTCCCTGGCTGGGAGAACGACATCAATCAGCCAAAGTGCCCAAGAAAAGGGATTGCTGCTAAGCAGGACAAAAGGCAGCAAGCTCCCTAATTCCAGCCACATTTAGTTCCATCCTATGGGAATTCTGCAGGCTCATTTTTTCAGCCTTTTTCACCGGGCAGCCTTCCAGACAGACTTTTAATGAGAAGCAGATGCAGAGGAATGAGGGTGAATAAGAAATCATTGGCTTTTGTAATCTTTATTGAGGCATTCAAAGTTCCTGGGCAATAAATAAATAAATACCAGAACGGTCAACTTTGAATCTTTAAAAAAAATTAAGTTTTCAGAAAAAAAATGAGGTCTCCACTGCTTCATCTGTACAAGATTCCATGTAGGAAATAAAGGGTTTGGAGGGGGAAATCCTGGATGCCAAAGCCCAGGAGGGCCTGGCAGAGGTGCCAGAGTTCCTCTCAGGAACAGGGATAAGCAGCTCAGCAAGTGGAACCCATTTCACTGGAATTTCCCTAAAGTTTATCTATGTTTAGAACAAAAATCTAATGGAGGGAGGGGAAATATTCCTGCTATTTCTCTTTCATAAAACATCAGAAAAAGTTAAAAAAAGAGGAGAGAACAGTGAGCTGGCCTTTTTGAACTGCAGGAGAAGCCACAGTGAGTGCACCCAGTGAGCTGGCTCAGGACAGGCTGTTCTCAAACACCAGAGATGCTTCAGAGACATGCCCGTGCTTAGGACTTTTCCACAAACACATTTTGCACGCCTTGAGTTGGGATTATTCTTTTTTTTCTGAAGTAAAATTGTTCCAGACAGGCTGTGCTTACCACTGCCTTTGAGAAGGCTCCACTTTCAGGGCCTGCCTCTGGTGAGGGCTCCTCAGAGTGAGGAGAGGGGGAGCCAAAGGGAAAATGTGAATTTTCCACTGCCAAGTCTCATTTCCCTTCCCTTCCAGCAGGATCAGTGCCACTGCATTTATTCACCATCACACTTGGAGAATCCCAGGATGGTTTGGGCTGGAAAGGACCTTAAAGCTGCCATGGCAGGGACACTTCCACCACCCCAGGTTGTTCCTAACCCTGTCCAGCCTGGCCTTGGACACTGCCAAGGATCCAGGGGCAGCCACAGCTGCCCTGCCAGGACCTCCCCATCCTCCTTTTTCCTGCTTTCCCATCCACCCTGTCACATTCCAAACATGTTCTGCAGGAAGCAGCCCAGGCTGGATGCAGACAGGAGATCATTTCTCACTGGCCACAGCACCACTGACCCCTCTGCCACATCTGGCACATCTGGCACACCCACAAGGGTTCCCAGTTTGAGCATTTCCCCCTGATCATTCATGAAGATGACACTGAGCCTGGGGAGATCCCAAGGAAACACTTCTGAAGGATGATGATTCCCCACAATTAGTTGCAATTAGTTCAGCGTGCTCTGGCATCTATCAGTTAATGAGTTTTTAATCCATTAACTATGGATTAAACCAGACAATGCTGACTTCATTTGCTTTCCATCAGCATCCTGGAGAGATAAGGCTGACAGAAGGCAATGGATCATGGTGAGAGTTACCTTTATCAGCCCAGCTCTTTCAAAAACTGATAATGGGATTGTTTGACAAGACTCACCATCCACAAACTGTGCCTTGACAGCAATTACAGTGTTTGGGAGCTTCAGAGCCTCTTATCCAGCCCTAATGAGTTAAGCATGTTTAAGTCTCCCCTCACAGCCTCCTTTTCACTGATGGAGTGGGAAGTATCTCAGTTTCACTGGAATATTTGGCTACATTATCCCCCAGTATTTAAATACGGAGCAGGAATATTTATTTAATGTCTGGCTTTTTGCTGTACCATGTTACAACGTTCTTCAAGCTCTTTCCTGTCATATATTTTTACCATATATATTTTTAGGTTTACCATTTATCGCAGCAGAATCCAATACACCTGAAAAATCTCAACTTGTCCATTTGTTGCATTTTTTAACTTTTAAATTTTATTTCCACTTCCTGACCACAGACACCTTATAAACCCCTTGGTCCTTCCAGGACAACAATTCTCTTTTTATGTGGGAAAGCAAATGTAAAATAGCTGTTAACTCATTCCCAATTACTCTTTGGATTTTTACAGCATGCTTTGTTCTCTGCTGGATTTTATTTTAGGCTGGGTGAGGGTTTGTGAACTTCCTAACCAAAACACTCCTGTGTCTTTAAAAACAGGAACCAACCTCACCTACTGTGACTGCCCAATGCTCTCTCTTTTTTTTTACCACCAGCTTTTCCCAGGTTGGGGAGCAGAAGGATGAACAGATGTCCCTAATTTGAAGCTAAAACCCCACTCACACCGAGTTTTCCCACAGCTCTGCTAATCCTTATCCTTTCATTTGCCCAGGAGCAGGGATTCCCAGGGCAGGCGAGTTCAACCCTCTCAGAACAAAGGCTGGGCAGAGTTCCTGACAAACCTGCAGCAGCACCAGCTGCTCTGCAAGCCTGGCAGGACAGGGCAGAGCTCTTGGCAAGGCAGGGGGTGAGGGAGGAAAGAAAGAGGGATTTTGGATGTGTTTGGAAGCACAAAGCCCTTCCTTGGAGCAGCCGAGCGATCCCCAGGCAGTGCCAGCTCCTCGCACGCCGCAAACTGCAGTGACACCTCGTGGTGGAGGCAGCGGGACACACGAGCAGCCCCGCACTCACCTGGAAAGGCTTCTGGAACGTCTCCTCCATGGCCAGCCGGCCATACTCGGTGAAAAGCTGGAAGGGGAAGGGAAGGACAGGACACGACAGTGAGTTTGGCACTGTGGGACACGGGGACAGCAGCACTGAGCTCTGTGACAGGGACAGGGCCCAGGGGGAGGCTGGAGCTGAGCCAGGCCAGCTCCTCCCCTCCAAAAACCTTGCACCGCCCTCAGATCCATAGGAAAACTCATAAGGGAAGCTCCAGTCATGAACAAGGAATGTAAGGGACTGGGAAACACAAACAGTGGGGTCAGCGCTGCTCTGAGCCCACAGTGCCCTCATCTCACACACCAACACCTGGCCCTGAGTCTCCTCCCAGGGTCAGGATGGGAACCAGGGAATGTTCCTGCCCCAGAGGGTGCTGGCACTGCCCAGGGAATGCCAGAGCTGCAGGGGGGTGGGCACAGCACTGCCAGGGGTGCCCAGGGTGGGGTTGGTGGGGTCTGTGCAGGGCCAGGAGCTGCTCAATGACCCCTGGAGGGAATGCTCTGATTCCCTGGAGCAGCAGGGGATGTTTATGAGTGAGCAACACCAGGCACAGAGAGGCTCTGGGCTCCCAGCTGGCATCCCAGAGGCACAGGAGCTGCTGTG